TATACTAAAAAAACACTACTTGATGCTTATCTGAAATTCAAATTCCCTGGTATTTCCTCTTTCCCTCCCTCTGTCCGTCTGATCCCTTTCCTCTGCTGACCTCCCTTCTGTTTTTAAGAGATCCCTGCCCCCCCACCCCTCTTTCCCTCTCTCGCTTCCACATTTGAGAGAAAACCTGCGGCCCTTGGCTCTCTGAGTGAGACCCCCGTCACCGTAACTTTCTCAAGTTCACGGACACAATTTCCTCCTCCTCGTGGCTGAATGAGACTCCCTGGTGTGTGTACCACAGTGTGTTTATTCAGTCGTCCATTGAGGGTCACCTGCTGCCATTTTGATTTTAGATTCTATTTTGGTGGGGTCATTTGAAGGAACAGAAAGAATTTTTCAGGTAAATTTTTGCTAAAAGAAGCCCCCCCGGGGCTGGGATGTGGCTCAAGCGGTAGCGCGCTTACCTGGCATGCGTGCGGCCTGGGTTCGATCCTCAGCACCACATACAAAGATGTTGTGTCCGCCGATAACTAAAAAATAAATATTAAAATTAAAAAAAAAAAAAGAATAGCTGAGTGGCTGAGTGGTAGGAGGATGCTGTTGGGTTTAAGGACCGCTCCTTTCCTTTAAAAAAAAAAAAAAAAAGAAGCCCCCCCAGTGCAGGTCCTGAGTCAGAGCTGGGTGTTTTACAAGGTGAACACAACATGCAGCCACACAGAAATCAAGAGGAAGAGCATGGCCAGTCCCCAGAGTCACAGCTAGTCTCTAAGGATAGCTACTACCTCCTAGAATTTTTTTTTTTTTTGGGGGGTACCAGGGATTGAACTCAGGGGCCACTCGTTCACTGAGCTCCATCCCCAGCCCTTTTAAGAGACAGGGTCTTGCTGAGTTGCTTAGGGCCTCACTGTTGGTGAGGCTGGCCTCCAGCTAGCAATCCTCCTGCCTCAGCCTCCCAAGCTGCTGGGATGATGGGTGTGCACCACGGAGCCTGACTAGAAATCTTTTTACAAGGGTCAGATAGTAAATATTTCAGGATCTGGGGGCCATGGGGTCTCGGCTGTGGCTACTCGGCTCTGCTTTTGTAGCACAAAA